ATGCTACTATAGTTTGTCAGTTCTAAAAATAAATTATTTACCGAACACGATAAGACATTAATATCCAATTTGTGATAATAACTGATAGATTATACTATAATAATATTTAAAAAACAGGTAACCAAACAATTGTTCATTAATGAATCATTCCACAATTTCAAATATTAATTTACATTTCCACGCTGTAAAAGCTCAATACACATAGGTACTAACACATTGATAATAAATTCATAATATTAAGAAGTTATAGAGATACGGCACTAACATTTAAAATTAAATAGGTATGTTATATAAACACATAAAAATACACGAATACCTTAGAACTCTTTTGTTATTTTTACTTACTTAAGTTGAATAAGTTCATGTTCATGTTCAATTTGCGTGAGTTTAATTTGATTTTCTAATTCTGATGCATGTCTGGACACCATCAATGCACTGCTATAGTTCTTATGATTGGTGAATTTGCATTTAAAATCATCTGATGGTCCACATTCAAACAGGTAACATGTTCCAGGYGACTAATCAAAATATAAATATAAATATAAATTAACTATAAAATAATATTTAATATTTAAAATAAGCTCAGTGTTTAATATTTTGGATAAAACAAATGCTCCAAAACATACATTATCAATAACTTGATAGATTTAAAATTAGATACCAACAGTCCATTTTTTATAAAGATTTAAGGTATAAACTTGATATTTCGGTATACACGATATTCATATAATGTATAAATGTATAACGTTTTATATGTTCAACCCTATTCATTTTCAATTTATTTTATAATAAGTTATCAATTAGGTATCTCAAATATATTAAATATATTAAAGTATTTCATCTTGTAATACAATTTTTTTTTTGTTTACATTTATTTATGGAGAAAAAAACTGTGTATTTAAATATAACATAAAAACCTGACTTTAAATTTATGAGACAATAATATTGCGTCACAACCCAATGAACCCCGCGAATGTTTTGTGGGAAAATTCGTTACCCATTCCTTAAATTTGCGACAGCCCCCTTTTTACAACGCCGGACTTTTGGGTCATATTAGCATAATAGTTTATTGGGATTTTGAACTGTGTCAAAGTCATGACGGTTTTAAAACTAATTAATAATGGATACAATACATATATTAATTCATAAGTCATTGTTAATTAATTATTTGACAATGAATTATTTTATTGTTATATACTTTTTCCTCGAATACGAAAACGTCACACCGGGATGTCCGGCAGCACAGTTCCAGACACCCACCACGATCGTGCTGTTCCACCGAATCTATGAACTTTGCACCCAACTTTTTCGAGTCTTCCGTCCGAATGATCTTATCGTCGTGCACTTCGAACCTGTTCTCGCATCCAAATGGCTCCGGGCTTGCAGTCGTCCCTAAGCGCACCACCGCTGCGAAAATTAACAGGAAACCAACCGATTTCATCGTATCTCGATGGAATAAAACTCAACGTTTGTCGCACTGAATAYTGTTAACTTTTGTACAATATTATATAATATTATTGTAATATRTGCCCACACRACGTGCGTGAGACGTAGGTGCGCCGCGAATAGCACTGSCGTAGTCGTGCTGTCACTATACCATGGCGTTCTCTATAACTACTACTGTTGCCGATAGGTGGCGGACTTCTCGATCGATATACACTCCATTTTGTACTCAACTTAATACTTGTATAAAATATACATAGCTACTATTAATACCTTTAATGTATATATGTATATATATATTTGTGTTGTGTATACAATGATACAATGATACAATTAATACAATGATTAACGACACGATTCTAAAATATATTATATATTATACAAGGTGATTCTTTACACCCCATTTTTTGGTTATTTTTGAAAATTATATATTTAGTAAAAGCATAAATTATCAGCACACAAATAGGGTGTTTCATGAGCGTGGTAAAATAAGCGACCAGCATTATGTATTTAAAGTATTTTTCTGCAACAGCAAGATAGCCTAGATGACTGCAACAATCCAAACTTTCTGCTACACATCCAAAGACATAAAATAGCATCTCAAAATAAACTGATGCGACTGAAGCAACGTTGATATTGTAATCTCTTAATATAATATCACTTAAATAAAAATATATAAAATGTAAAAATTTTAATGATTATATATTTATATGTAAAATCCGTGTTTTAGTGCCATGGTGTAATAAAAATATGTGATTCCYTGACCCAACAGTCAGCACGCAGCACGCCATATAATTTAATTATAAGTTATGTTTATTATATTTTAGTACATCATCAATTTTATTTATTAAATCAAAATAAAATCGGTATCACACAGCTCAGCTATATGTGGCACGGCAGTTTGTGTAGGCAATTTAGCTACACCACTAGCTGTTGTCCATTATCTTTCCAAGTACCTATCTCATGTCTCTTTTGCGACTTTCTGGTCTTATAATGAGTTAATTTGAATTCTCTGTTTGAAGGAGATAGTATATATTTTTCCCAAATTTTTGTAAACATTTTCGATTGATGATGTACGTGTGATTTTAGTGCACATTGTATGAATGTGTGCATAGTAAATTATTATTAGTTAACAGTTCAGACCTAAATACCGAATATTTATTTGATTTTTCATCACATTACTGTAGTATAATYGTCAGTACAATAAAACGTATAGATAATGCATTAAAAAGGAACATTTTCGTAAGTGAAAATTTGGTATTTTCTGAATGTAAATTCGGCATTACATATAAAAATAACACTATTAYCACTAGGTATGTAAAACGGTCGACGAGCGTAGCAAACATTGTATACACAGTCCACAGGTTATGTATATTTATGTAATTATTCTTATATACATTATGTATATTATCTCTAATATAGATATAATATTACAAATATATTGTTATTATCCCTCCCCACTTCTTCCATAAACCGCTGTTTATGACTTTATACATGTAAATTTAATGAATAGAGCAAATACCTGAAGCAAAATGTTAGAATATAAAATCGCTTACGAAAGATTTGAATTTGAAATGCCCTTGGTAGAATAAAATTATTTAKKATGTAAATAACTCATCAATACAAAAAATGATTTACATACTACATTTGTTGTTATAATATCTCTACMTTTTATCGTTCATCGGTCCAACTTGCATGCATTAATCTTTTATGGTAGTGTCAAAATAATTTTATGAAGAAAAAGATTTGAGATGGTGTGGTAATACAATTTGRTCTTTTTGTATTCGGTTTCACCCTACCCCCTCCCCCCACACAACATATTTAGAACATTTTTTATAGGACTCTATATGTATATTTATCCACATAACATTCTTTATATTATTTAGGATACACGTTGTACCYTATATTATATTGTGCAGTACAACCATAAACATAATATAAATACATGGGTCATCGGTGATCGGCCTATGGGTATAACTCATCATAGGGTTAGGTTAAGTAAGTGAGAATGAGAATCAACAAACTAAGATTATAATATTTCTCGAAAAAGATAGCATATATTTTATATACCRTTTTCCACCACACTGCACWGACTACACCAGTGCATATTTTTATGCTCTTTCGGCAAGATTAGCGTGCATTGAGTGGACTTTTTTATACTTCACCTCAATGCACTACGCCAGTATTAGGCGAATCTATAGGAAAAAGAAAGCCCAGGAAAAAAAAGCCCCACCTACAGAAAAAAAAGCCCTGTACCGGCTAAATACATAACATATTTTTTATTATAGAGTACATTTTATAATTTGAAATTTTTAACTTTTTAAATTTATACATACTTTTATATAATAATAATAATATATATCTATATGTGACTATGGAACACTTCTTTAACATATACTCGTATCTATAACCACAATTAATATTATATTATAAAATACTAGTTTAATATTTGTATATACTTTTAGCCTTTAGGTCATATTAATATTTAATAAACTGTTAAAACATTAAAATTAACAAACTGTTAATAACAATTGTTTTTCATTAATTATTATATTATTATGTATCMTCTAATTTATTATACTAAATATTTATTAAACTATAGATATAAACATACATTAATATACATTTGAAATATAATAAATTAAAGTATATAAGTAATAAAAGTAATTGACATTTGACTTTATCTTAAAAATTGTGAAGGTAGATATTATATTTTATTGTAGACTCTACCTATCTGAAAACTGGTCTTGGTATCTTAGTATCTGCAACATTTTATTATTAAAAAATAAAAATTTTTTTCGTTCATATAATATAAAATATAAAATATAATATTCATGTTTAAAAATTTTAAATTATAAAATGTACACTATAATAAAAAATAATATAATGTATTTAGTTGGTACGGGGATTTTTTTATCTTACTTTGATATCGGAGCTTTTTTTTCCGAATACCGTATTTTGCACCCAGTGCAATACTGCAATGATAAATACCACAATACCCATTAAAAATTGTATTATCTTTAAAAGATAATATCAGTGAAAAGTATAGATTTTATGTTTTATCCACAGATGCACACTTGCACCAGCCCGCACTAGCTGGACAATAAATTATCAGTGAACTGTACCAGTGCCACATTGGTGCAATATTGCGATATGGTGGAAAACGCTATAAATTAGTAAGGTYCTATCAATTAGTTTTATTACTCTATGGTCAGGTTCTATTTACAATTTACATAAATGGGCATTACAATAAATAATATTTATTTACTCTTTTATTAATGCATTTAGCCATTTTTGTATTACTATCTCTTAACATTGGTACATGGCAATATACAGTGGGTCGTGGTCCGTGGGTGAGGTGTATAGTGGGAAGCGCAGTCCTGAGTCCATTTAAGTCTAATTAAGTCCAATAAGTCTATCATAGAATATATTTATTATTTACTTTTCAGCAGCTGATTACGGTGTGCTGTGGCGACACTGTAGAGTCTGTTGGACTAGTTTGAGACAGCCTGTACTGGGAACTGGGGTCGATGTTTTTATTTTATTTTTTTCTTATTAGTTATTGCTAGGTTTGTGTTTTTTTCTATCTTGCTATTCTAGCTGCTGTCTGTTAACTAGTGTTACTGCTATGTAAATCATCGTTTTGAAGACGCTTTTAATGTGAAAAAAAATTTTGATCGGTTACACATCAATCGCATTCCTACGGGATAGTGAATGCACTTTTCGAGTTCGTCTGGAGTTCTCAACTGTTTGGTGTTGTGTGTGAAAATCTAAATTCGTAAAATTAAAAGTTAAAAAAGTGACACGTTCGTTGGTTCAATAAGTATGTATTTTGTTGGAAATCTGGAATGGCTGAAATGATTTTTATTTTTATTTTTCATGATCTAAGTTGTTATTGTAATTAAAAAATAAAATTAAAAACCACGTACTTTGTTAAGAGCGTGCACGTAGAATGTTAAGTCATCCGATCCGTCGAGCTGATCGCGAGCCGTTTCCGTCCGATTATTATAAAATGATTGCGCGACGCTATGTACACCGAGCCTCCGACCGGCGCGTACTGCCGGGGGCCGTTCGTCGATATAAGATCCGTTTTCCGTTCGGTCGTCGCGAAACTCTAGTGAATATTTCGCTTGCCGGAGCGTTCGGGTAGCTTCTCATTAATTCTCATTCGTACTATGTTCCATGTGTTCAATGCTATTACTTGCAGTACTTAATTGCATATGTGATGCTGCTAGTATTTATATATTTTAAGCTTTAGCAAACCGTTTTGCTAACTTGTATCCAATCAATATATCTTAAAATGTATTCATTATCTGTTTACTTTCTTTTACCATTTCTTGAATAATCACCTAACTCTATGTTATAAACATATTGAAATTTATATTTTTAATCTTATACAGAAATTTGTGTAATTATCTGTTACCTGTAATTATATATTATTACTGCTCAAAGATGTATATACAATTGTATTTTAGTAGGTAACCAAAGGTACCTAGTACACCTATTTTAAATACCCATTGATGGAATTTCTTACAATAAATCATAAAAACATTTTTTTTTTTTACTTGACAATGTTTACCTTTTTATTAGCATAAAATTATTGTTATTGTAGAACTAATAGCTTAAATATTGAGAATTTATAAAAATGACTAATTACTTATAATAAATATTAGAATGTAACCTAAATTTATATTTTCTACATATAAAAAATTATATACGTACCTAATTATCTTAAAATTGCTTTAAAGCTACACATTAAAAAGAATAATAACTGAATACTAAACATTTTCCTATTATGTCAAAATCCATTGAATTCCTTTCGTTCGGTGTTTTCATTTATGAGTCGCAACTCATCATCTGGACGTATATGAATCCAAGTAATTCTGACAGCTCGACTAATGGTATGAAGTACGTCAAAAATTGATCAATTACATATAATCATATTATTTAATGGCCATGTGTTATATGTGATAAAAATATATTGATAACATTTACTTAATATTTTAAATGTTGTATAATATGATACTTATTATTTAATGATTTATAGGATTGAACATGTCTAGAAATGAAAGACATAGGACTGACAAGAGAGCTTCATCAAGTCGTACCAGATCTAAAGGTATATTTAAATTTATAGATATTAAATATATATTATATTATTTTATTATTATAAACTCTAGAATCCCCAAGAAGAGAGCTGGAAAATGTTGTTAAGAGGGCCAGGAAAGACAGAGATCAAAGTCAATATTGGATTAACAAAGTTTTAGAAGCTGAAGAAAAAGATCCAAATAGGTATGCTTAAATCCTTATAATATTATGCATACTATACTTTAGGTATGTTTACCTAGAAAAAAAGAAAGTAAAATATAGTACCAAAAATATGTTTAGTTGAAATTTTAACTTTTAACTGTTTAATACCTATAATTTAGGTAGAATACAGTTGCGTTCATTCGATTATAAATTTTTGATAATTTTATGCTCAATATTATACAACACAGCACTTTAATGCTAAGCTTTATAAAAATTATGAGCTTTTTAAACTTCTGTACCTATTAAGTGTTATTTCTTTAATTTTGTACCTTGTTTTGCTTTGGTTAATTTCATATCATTGTYTCTTAATCATATTGATCATGCTATTTCAAACATGGATGTAACCAGGATTTTATCTTGCAGGAAGGACAATTAAAAATAAAATATTTAAACAATATTCAAATTTTCAATGTAATAATATAAATATTAAAATTATTGGTTGTTGCTTATTAAATGTATATAATATAAAGTAATAATTAACTTATCATAATAAATATTAATATTACATAAATATAATCTCGATATAATTAATATGAAAAACTGTAAGTTTAATATAGGTACCTATAGTTTATCATGATACAAATTTTCTTTTGACTTTTGCCATCATTTCCAATAAATATTTCCCAGGAAATGGGTTGAAGAGCCAGCCATATTAAATGTTTATTTCAATTAATATTTCGATGAATGTTTTTTGCCTTTTTTTAAGTTTAAAATTAATGTTTTTTCAATATTAGACACTGAAGGAGTTGCCAAAACTCTTAATATTTAGTTTATATTCAGGTTTATAGTTGTAATCATGTACGATGGATTACATTTGAGGATGTGTTTGTTACCTATGTCGCGTGCTCAAGCACCTAAAGCTGAATTAATGAATCTAAAATTGATATGTTTACAGGGATATCTTCAATATTTTTCCATTTTTACACCAATGAATATACTCACTTCCTACTTTTTTCAGAAATGTTGTCTTTAAAATAAATTTAAGTAGTGACATTTTTTAGTTGTTTTTTTTTTCTAATAAGTATTTTAGTAACAATATTTCTATTGATTGTAAAATACCATTTTTATTGTTCAAGCCTATTTTATAAATATAAGACAAAATTATCTAAGCATATTAACAATATAGATAATTTATGATATCCTTGCGGTAAATTACAAGAATAATTATTTCTAAAATTTTGTTTATTTATTATGTGAAAAATCTTAATTTCAATATTCAAAATATGTTTTTGATTATTAATTTGCATCATGAGTGATCAGTGAAAACAATTTATTTGAGTTTCGTCTCTTTTGTTTCAGCTTCCTTATAATATTATTAATATAAACAACAGCAAATGAAAGATCACTATTAGGAATTGACAAATAATGTGACAATAAAAGTGAACCTTAATAGATTTCCACAGATAAGTCATGAAGTGACAAAATAATTTTTTTATTCAACTGCCAAAAGTGAATAAACCTTTGTTAAAATTGCATGATCTGTTTCTTGGATATATAGTAGACTAACTTACTATAATTTAATTCAATAGCTCATCAAAATCATTTGCTGCAACTATGTATAAAAATATAAAAATTGAATAATTTTTAAATGTACAGAAGTTTTTTAGTATTTTAGTAGTCATATTATTTTTGAAAGATAATAAATATACTTTTATAATGATAATGGCATTATGTCGTCAATATCATATTATGAGATGTTAAATGTAGAAAATCTATATGATATATACAACTTATTTAAGTATAAATGTTTCTTTCAGGTGGAAGCATTCTGGTTTCAAAGAATTATATAGTGATCGAAGATCTAGGTCAATCAGTAGGCGTTCATCTAGTAGTTTTTCTTCTAGTTGTTCACGTTCGTCTATACGGAGGTCTCCATCCCATAAACGACGTAGACCACTTTCACGGTCTCCTGATTTAAGAAGATCGCGCAGATCTTTATCACTTCGAAGAGGATCTCCATTAAATAGACGACGTTCACCATATCGAGCAAGAAAGTCTCCTTTAACTTTGCATTCTAGAAGAAGACGCAGATCCACATCAGAATCACCAACAGCCAATAGTTCACGTGTCAGACGGTCCAGATCATTAAGTAGAAGACGTAGATCTCCCATACTTAGTCGCAGCCGTAGAATAGCTTCACCTCCTCCTAAAAGAAGAGGGTCTAAAAAACATGGTCTTAAACGTATTCGAACATCATCAGCTGAGGAGGTATTTTTTTATATTAAAAGACACTTTTTCATGGCAATATAATTATTAATTAATATTTTAGGTACGTTCATCAAGTGTAAGTACATGTTCAGATTCTCATTGTTCAGTTTGTGAAGCTAGAATACCTGCTACTAGACGAGAGCCACCACCAGAACCATTAGCTAGGCCAAAATCTCCAAAAATGTCCAGACCTGTTATACCCATACATGAACGTTCTAGGTAATTAATTACTTTCATAGTTATTTGAGTTGTTATAATATTTTAATTATATTTTAGATCAAGATCGTTTTCAGTACCAAGGTACACACCCGTAGTAGAAGTAAGTTCTACTACTGGATTACCTAAAGCTGGTCCACTTCTAGAACCTCTACCAACCAAAACTAAACGTATTAAAAAAGTGAAATCGCACAAAAAGAAAAAATCACATAGATCAAAATCTTCACAAATTGAAACTGTATACATAATTTATTTTAGTTTTAAATTTTATGTTAAAGTCCTACATATTTATTAATATTTTTAGGCTGTTTTACATCAACCAACAATTAAAGTAGAATCAATGTCGGAAGAAGAATCTAGTGTTGGTGGTTCAGATATGCCTATGAGTTCTTCTTCTGGAGGTCAATTAACATTATCTGAACGTTTTAGTAAGATGGCTCAAATGGGTCGCGCCCATGAGTTACCACAAAGGAGTCTTCGTGTGACAGCTGGTGATGATTTTAGAGTTGAAATTGGTTCACCTCCTCATCCATTTCCTACTCCAGCTTTAGGGTAAATATATGGAAAAACAATTGTTAACTAAAATAAATAAACCATACATTTTTTATTAGGTCATTACCAGAGGGTACTTCTATTGAAGATGTTAAAGGTCGTTATGCTTATTATAAAGATCAAGGGTATTTAGGTGATCTTACATTAACTGATTATGTCAAGTGGGAAGAATGGTGGTATAAATACCAAGATTGGTTAGAAGCAGAACGTGCATATGATGCTCATTTGGATAGGTACAGAGACAGACGATATAGAGATGATCCTCCTATATTTTGACATGAAAAAAGCTCCATGCGAGGTCATCAGCAATATGCGGAATCTGACGATGATGTGTAACGATAAATAGTTATAATATTAAGTGAAAATTATTAACAGTTAAACAAAGTTATCGAAGAAAACTTGTGATCTGTGCATAGAAAATATACTAAAAGTTGAATATAATGACTCTTGAAATATCACACTTGATACCATCAAAACTATTAATAAAGCAGCTTTCATTATGGAGTGCTTATAAGTGTTTTTACTATAAATATTTACCTAGATCATTGAGTAGGTAATCAAAATTGAGTTATTATTACATATATTCATTTTTTATTATTTTTGACGAAATCGCGGCTTTTATGTAGTAGTATTTAATTTGAGTATTGTGTTACTACTTTTTTGTAAACATGTAAATTACTCAAAAAATAAAATTGTTGTGTAAAAGTTAATATGAGAAAAATTTAAAGAGTAGATAATGTGTGACTATGTGTTAATCATGTATAACAAAATATTTGAGTCACTTACTGATCATTTTAATTAAGTATAAGCATATATATGTATATATAAATATTTATATATGTATATTTTCTATATTATATTTTTAATTTTAGTGAAAACTAATACCCAGTTGAATTACTCTTGTTGTTAATTAAATAATGTCTTATATAACATTGGAGATTTAAATTTTTTTTATTCCCAAAAATAATTTGTTCACGTTGATAYTTTGTTTTATTTAATGAAATAAAATTATAAAATATTATGTTTTATTTGTATCTATAGAAAAAACATTATATAATATGAAAATGTTGAATTGGTTAGCACTCGCCTATTGATAGTWAAGTGTTTTGCAGTTGATTTATGTTACATGCTTCATAAATTCAACAGATTTTAGTTAAATATGAATTAACTAATGCTATAATATAACTTATGGGTGGAAAGGGGATATGTATTTAGTTTCTATTATTTTATAATTTATTTTAAAGAAACATTCAGTAAAACAATTTTAAATTTATTCTAGGTATAAATATTTTTGATATTTAARGCATTCAATATTGTGAATGCTTGCTATTTTTTTTGTATTCTTCAACTTCTTTTATACATCATGAATGTCGGGTTGTATGGAAAATAGATAATATTTTGACGATTTGATCGAGCAATTAATTCACTATTTATAAATTTTAAGTGATTTGTTCATGTAACCCGGCAGAAAACATGTAGAGATTTGCTCTCATTAATTCATATATGTTATTTGCTATTGTAAAGTATCTATGCTTGAATTCTATTATATCTCAATGAATGATGGTGAAAGAAAGTCAAATGATTATCAATAAGAATATTCTGAATATTAGTTTTAGCAATAATTAACACACTTGAAAATTCAATGCTATCACTAATTGTTATTTGTTGGTATTGACTTAGTTGACGCCCACCAAGGAAGTATTCTCTTGCCACTTATATCAATTATATTTTTGATGTACTATTAATTTTTTATTATATTTATAATTAATTTTATTGTTACATTAAAGTAATTTTTTCTTGAAACCTAAGATTTAAAATATATTCTATTTTGTAAAAATTAATTTTAAGAAAAAAATAATAAAAAATATCAAATTGTATTTATAAGTACTCATAATATTGAACATTCACAGAATACATTATTAAGAGGAYGTTATATTTATACCCGCACGTGTTGTCTTCGTCTTACAAGTGTGTAACATAGCAATTTTTACGTTCAGCAGAACACTGATCCGTAAGCTTAAAATTTAGAGTGAATTGACATCTTATAAAAATTAAAGGTAACATTATTATCGAGGGCTTCTTATGTGCTTTTTATTATATTTTAATTTTAAAGCGAGTTATGAGTATTTAAAGATATACATACAATTTACAATTTTAAAATACACATGCGGGTGAAATGTTCTCCTAACAGAAAAGTTATAACTGCATTATTCAGAAAAGAAATAAATGGAGGAACACTTTCTTGGAGKTCATCAACTAAACCAGTACCAAAAAAAAGAAATGTTTCCATCACTGGTAATAAAAAATGCCATTCAAATAAATTGATTATACTCAAACAAAAATTTAAGTTATTTTTAAATACCAAAAATTTTTTTTTTAAATTTGTAATTTTTTGAGATAATATTGTAAGCTGCGCAATTATTTATTTTTATAGTTACTATCTAAGTCATGTCAAGATATTTTTAAACCTTTTACAGTATTATCTAATAATTTAATATGATCTCGTTTAATATTGTGATTTTGTAAACAGTTGAAAATGAATTGATTGAATTCATCGTTTCCACAAATGAGCCATAGCGTTCTCAAGTGTTGTTGTCTATCAATTATTTCAGCCATGCCGTCTTCCGAAATTCTTCCTTCCGTTATATTTTCATTGTACCAAAACGATTTCGAACATTGTGGCCAATTCCGTTCCCTTGTCAAGTACAGATGTACTGCGCAATTCCAATAAGCCGCGTAATCGGCCAACTCCTTGCGCATCAGCACCCCGTCGAGGGTTTTGCACGAGTAATGCAGTCTCAGCAACGTCTCGCACTGGTCGTCGTCCAACAGCGATCCGATCAGACCCACGAAGGCGGCCACACCAGTACCGCCGCCGAACATAACTATCGAATCGTGGCCGTCGTGCCGCACGCCACCTGAAGGCCCGCGCACTGCGACGACGTCGTCCACAGTCATTCCCAACAGGCGCCCGGTGAATCTTCCACCGGGGTAWGCCTTGATCAGAACGTCGAACGAGCAATCGTCACCCAGGGCCACTGGCGTGTACGGTCTGCTGAGGCCGTCCGTCAGCCGGATGTGCACGTGCTGAGTGTACGCAACAGGCAGTCGGCCGACGGACTCCGGGGTGGCCGCAAACGTATACGCATGTACGTCGTCGCCGAGCGGCCGCGCCGAAACGATCCGGTACGGCTTGTGCGTGGTCGCTGACAACAGGTCCCGCCGCAGCCGGTCAGCATTGCCGGTCCGGCGCCGACGTCGCCACTGCGCGCATTCTCGGTCGTACACGTCGAACACGCAGTCCGCGCAACCAGTACCGCAGCAGTCTGTCTCTGACGGAGGTTCCGGCGGCGGGTCGTACATAGTGGGTTGTTGGTGGTGAGGGGGTGTAAACTTTTGACAAGTCACGGGTCGCGGTATGACGACGACGTGTATAACTCGACAAGTTGACACGATTATCTTGATTTTTATCGTTTAATGCTTGATGGTCCATTATCAAAATATCAACATGTTATCACAAATGAAACTTCACGAATCAACATTAACTCGCCCATACACACGGCTATAGATACTAGTATCACAGAACAGTGTCTGTAGCCGTGGATACAGTAACACGATCAGCTGATCGAGTGTCTATTCCATATTGTTCTGTGGTACGGCTGTTATTTAATCGTCATTTCTGTAAATAATACTAAATTACCGTTATTTTAATTGTCACGAGTCACGACGCCGTTTGCGACGTTTGCGTCATTGGTCAGTGGTCACTGCCGTCCTTGGAAAAAATATTAATGTAAGTATAATATATAGGTACTTTTAATTTTTACCTTAGCATTAGATACATGAATGGTTTGTAATGCATAATGTACTTTAATGATCGGTTGTGTACCTACTCAAAAGTATTCATATTATTTTATTCATAACTAGTCCAAATGAAATCATTCGAAACTCAACTAAACGTATACATGAGTACTCTTCCTTAATATCTATCAGCTTAGAACTTGAATTCATCATGTATTGTCGGTATGATCATTGATTATTAAGACATTTTAATTTTGTAATCTAAACTAATGATTAATTTTTTATTACTCGTGTGTTCATCAAATATGCTTTTACTTAATATGCAATTAAAGCCTTAAKGACTGCAGGTACTTGTTTATTGATGCACCTCATTTAAATATATTTCATTATTTCTTACATTGTAGAACCTAAAATGTCCAAGTATAATAAAGATTTACTGTAGTAACTTCAAAGGAGTTGGTATTTTTATTGGGCTCTTAGATTATTTTAATATTTTTAATTACTCTATAGTATTTAATACTATATAATAACTTTTAGTTTAAGTTTAGTGTCAATTCACTTTTTAATTGTTCAAATAATGACATAATTTAATTTTAAAAACAATCATTGCATCTAATTCTCGATCTAATTGTAAAATTAATTTTTTTTCTTATCACTCCGGGAGAACTGAGGTATCACCATTCACCATTGAACTATATAATATTATATTATAGTTATTATATATTTCAATGGGTATCAACCTCTTAAATCGTGGTTTTATTAAATGATCGAATGACGAATGTATTATTGCATTATAATTATTTAAAGGTACCAGAAACACTTAGCAACTTGAAATAGTCGTTTAGTGATAGCACCAAACATTTTAGTAAACAGTAAACAGTTTTGACATAAAATTATCGCCAAAACGGGTTTTAGTAAATTGTTTGCTCATGGTACCTCCGCGAAAACGCGCTTATAATTTTTACATGCCAGTTAAAAACTTAAAACTTAAAAAATTAAATTAAAATGATATCCAATTATTTCATTATTTCAATCAAGTTGATAATTTTAAGTTATAGTTACTGCGTTTGAATTATTGTCATCTGGTCGTTATCGTCAAGAAATATTTGAACCTGTTTTAAACTGACTAAGGTACTGTATATCTCTTGTTTGGATCATAAAAAATTATATTTTTATTCATCACCATAATTATTTAAAATTTGAGAATATGTATAGTTTAATTATCTAGGTATCAATTTGTAAATAGGTACCTCCAATGTCATATTTAATTATGTTAGTATAATAATTTACTAACGCAAGATGGAGATAATATYAACTTATAATATCTAGCTTCTTAGTCTCTCTTGTCCAATAGTTGATCTTAAGTAWTTTTTTTATTAGTTTAAAGTTAATAAAACTTCTTTCACAACTAGCAGTTGTTACTGGAATGTTAMTTGAGTGAGAAATATTCTTAACGCTATTTCTATGTTAGGATAAATACTTTGTAAGTTTTGTTTATGAATACGTTTTAATAAATCAATAATTGGTGCAGCCATTYTGAAATTGGTCATCAATGCAGAAGCCTGGTGTTTAAAACATTCCATTTCAGAGCAAAGCTCGAATCTATTGAGGTCTTTGTGGTATTTGTCCATTTTTTAATTTCAACAAAATCCATTGACGATAGCTTACTTCCACCTAAAATAGTCATTCTTTTAAATCGCCATTTTAAACTCGATAAAATTGAGTCAACTGCCATGTAAATATCATTTTTGATTTTGGCGTGGACGAATGTTGCACCATCATCTATTGTTTCTTCTCCATCCATACGTTTTATTTTATGCCTTTGTTTTTTTAGAAATTTGGGCGATAGTTCCATTTCGATAGCAGTATTCTTTGAATTTTTTAATGGATCCTCAAAATTGTGATCACAATTTTCTTGAATAGAATTATACAAACCGTTTAACATTTTACTTGTCATATAAATTGTAATATCTTTAGTTTTGCAAAGACTTATTGGTTTTATCGATATGCGTATGTATTTTATTCCATATATTTAGTAAGCACAGAAATTTTAGATCTATTAGGCGTAAAATTTGATTGCAACCATCAATAGTGTCATAGTTCATATATGAACAATAATAGTTCAATATTATTAGTGTCCCTCATTTCGACACCCCCTACGAAGAAGGACGTAACTCAATATTCACTACTTTTCATGACAGCGTTGAAATGTTGGCTATATGACAGAAGCGCCAAAGGCACAAAAATGACCTATCATTTGCGCCAAAATGTGTAGGACATAAGCGCCAATATAATATTGTATACCTAACATGTGAAATAGGCGCCAAAGGTGCAAAAATTACAAATAATTTGGGCCGAAATTAAAATTTTATGTAAGTAGATACTGGCCATTTCTCGTAAAAATCTATATTATTGCTCTTTATATAAAATACACACAATACCTTTATTTGTAATAGTTTTTGTAAAATCCATTTTAACGAATGATGCTTACACGAATGCTTACGAAGTACTTACTAACAATGTGTTATAAACTAATAACACAAAACTGCTCATACACTGTCTATGTGACAATCTATTGTAATCAGAYATAAAATCTAATTGTCGACATTTGTCGATTAAGATTAAACGTTGGAGTTTTTGAACGATATAATTCTAAATTTAATATCTGTTATTTAACATCTATTAACCGTGGCACACTGGTACCTAGGATTTTGGCGCTTTCGTACGATACGATTTTGGCGCTTTTGTACGATACGACTTTATTTTTTCTTATCTAATTTTGGCGCCTATGTCTTTCACCGGAAATGTTTTTGGAATTAAATTCTTATTCCCATGGTGATTGTTTTTAAAATTCTTTATTCTAGTTAGTTTTTATTTCTTTTGTAGCTTGCTGGAAATGCATTGTTTTTGTTTAATTACTTTTTGTTGACCTAAGTCTTTGAGTTACGTCTTTTTTTTTTGAGACTATGAAGACGTAACTCAAGTTAAGTCTTTTTTCGTGGGAAATGTTTCGTTTTAACGAGAACGTAACTCAAGTTAAGTTTTTTTTCGTGGGAAATATTTAATTTTCATGAAGACGTATCTTGATTTAAATAATGATATTAAGTCGATTAATTTTAGGAAAGAACTATTTTAATGAAGACATAAAGCCAACTATATCATTATTTGAGGATAAAATTAAATAATATGCAAACATAACTGAGTATAATTATATATAAACTTTCATTAGGAAACTTAATTTTTCCTTCTTTAATTATTAAGTATCAAGAAATCATTAATTTTTTTAATAACAAATTATTAAGGTAATTTAAAAATAATAAAACTTAAAAATCAATGCCGTAATAATATTAACAAAAAAAATATTTAAATGAAATAAAATAACACAACTTTCAACTCAATGCCATAATGTTCTGTATTATTATTGATATCCTATTTTTCGCGTAATACCAAACGATTTTACGATTGGTGGACCATGAATATTAATCTCAACGAAATCATGGAATTGCACTAGACTAATGCGTGCCTTTTTGCCCTAGCAGCCGACGTAATGTTAGCGGTGGAAACACGTTTACCGTTAACGTTCGTAGTTGTATATATAAGAATCTTAAAAATAAAAAAAACACCTTAATTAAACTAATTTCCCTATGTTATTATGTTACTAATATAAAAATCGTGTTGAGAAAAAAAATGAATCTTAAAAATAAAATACCTTATTAAAACTAATTTCCCTATGTTATTATACTTATGATAATATAAAAATCGTGTTGAAAAAAAAATAATAAACTTATCAAACGATCTGACAACCAGTGCAATGCCGGAATACTCCAACTATTACTCCATAGCTAGAATGTGATGAATGAAATGATCGATATAATGTCGGAATACTCCAACTATTATACCATTGATCGCTTCACAGACCACTTGATAAGTTTAAAATGAAATTTATGATTTATATGAATCTTTGAAAATTATATTCCATCTATAATATTAAAAATAAAACTAACCTGTATTAACTTCTTCATTTTCAAATTTGTCTAGAGTTGTCATACAAATATCATCATCTGATAGAGAAATGCCAGTTGATGTATTCGAACCGCTGGCTGGTGTACTGGGAACGAAAATTTGAGGTGCAATCTGGATACTACCCTGAGGTGCAATAGCTGGTGGCGCGTACTGTATAACGCTCGGTCTAACAATCGGTGTATCAATCGGTTGAGCGGATTGACGAGCGGATACGTTGACGATACCTTATGAAAAATAAATATTATATTAGATATAAATTATTATTAAAGAAAAATAAGTAAACTCACCATGAATATTTTTCATTTTTCATGTTTTATTCCTGTTGGCTGTTGTCAGTTGTCAGTTATCACCTTATTATTGAATTGTTTGATTGTCTAATGTGTATTCATATTTCGAATTGAAGTTTTTAATGTATAGTTTATGCGTATGTTAATTTATATACGTTATAAAATATARATTCTAATTTTGCTTTTCAATTACTTAATAAATTTTAATATATTATTATATAGGTACATGGTACATTATTTATTAATTAATAATAAATAAACTATGAATACTGATGACAAAAAACTGAATAAACGAAAATATGAGTTAGGCGCTTTGAAACGGAGTAAAAAAAAAATAAAGAGGCATTACTACCTATACAATGTGCAAATGACTAAAATCAATTT